GCTTCATTGTTCAGTTTGTGCCCATCCCTACTTACGAGCTAGACTGAGCCCGAAATCCCTGCAGTCTTGTCTGAGAGACACCCAGAGCTGGAATATGCCTGGGGAAGGAAGTTAAATGATTGTTTAAGTTGTGCTAATGTGGCTATTTTGGACCAGGATCAGTGCAGTCCTAAGAAGAGTTACAGCCCACTAAATCCACTGAAGTTAATGAGCTAAGAAGGATGTAAACTGCATAGAATTGCATTCCTTGTCACATAAGGTATTGTGAGCCAGAGGGCCCCAAGCAGCCAAACTCTAGTTTATTTTGCCCTTTTGCACCACTACCATCCCCCTTTCTGTACTCAGATATCACATTTTGAAAAATCCGAAACATTGTGTGCAGGCACCAACAAGGACTATGTCAAATGTATACAACCATTTGCCTATTGCCTATTGCTGTGCCTGCAGTACAGCAAAGATTAAATTTAAATTTTAACTCCCATAAAGCAGAACAAAGTGGTACAAGGCGGGTGGGTCTCATTTGTGAAAAGGGGAACAATTGAGAACTTGCATCTGATATCCGTGTCTGGCCTGCTCCAGGCTTGACTCACCAAAGGGTTTGTTCCACTGGCTTGTGCCAGCAGTTTGCTCGATTATGTGGCTCTGGCATTAGAAACTCCATCCAAGGAAGGGTGGGGGGAAAGACTGCAGCAGTTCAAGGTCTTTTTTTTTTCTTCAAGAGGCCGTGCGCCGTCTTGCAGCTGAAGCCAGTTGGCACCACAACAGCTATGGAGAAAAAAGGGGGGCAAGGAGCTGGCTGGCTCTACAGGAGATTAAAATGATTCAGTGCATCCACTAACCAGAACCTCCCACTGGAGGGTAGAACAGTAATATTTTATAATACCAAAATACCACTGAGTCCAGGAAGCACACAGCGTGTCTAAGCAGGGCTGTGTACAGGCCACAGTCCCTTGGAAACACAGAAAAGTCACACCATAGGACACTGACATCAGAATCCAGCTTTCTAAGAATCCAGTTTTTAAAAAATAACAGCTTCTAGCATTGTTACAATTTTTTTTTGAAAGTGTGCGAGCAGCACCTGGCATGATTTATGAAACTTTGATACCTCCTGCCTTTCAGCCAACCCTCATTTCCCCTCAGTGGCTCAAAGGAATCGAAATCTAATACAAGTGAAAAAGTCCAGTACAAACTGTTCCTTGGGGAGGGGATTCTTAGCCAGACCCAGGTATGTAGGCGCCCTCTGCCATCAACGAGTTCCCCTCTCCTTCCTCTGTCGTGTCCAGAACCCCGGGTCTCCACCAGCCACAGAAAAGGGGACACAAGGAAGAGGTTAGCAGCACCTTGCACCTCTCACTCCCCCCGCCCCCACCGGAACAGTCAGCCTCTTCAGTCAGGACATCTGCCTCCTCCTTCTCCTTGGCCAGCCACTGGAGCCCTTCGCTTATACTCCTCTTATACCCCACCCAGACCAATTCCTTTCCTTTGGGGTGGAGTCTCTAATTTCCTTTACCCAGCTCTCTTTCTCTCTCTTCCTCGTCTCCCTCCATCTGTCCCTTGAGTCGTGGCCTGGCCCTGCAAGTCTGGGGCCCCTATCCTGGGCATCCTTCCAACAGGGCAGACCTAACTGTTTTGGGGTAGATCTGGCCAGCCTGGGGAGATTCGCCCCTCTGGCCTGGGCTTTCCTCACTGCTGGCTGATGATGTTATCAGCTTGCAATGAGGAGTTGTTGCAGGCTTTAGCCATGGCAGCACCCAGCCCTCTCTTGCTCTGATCATTCCAGGGCTTTTATGCAATACTTGGACCTTCCCTGGTCTGGTTCTTGGCCCACACTGCAGCTCTGGTTCTGTGGGCAGCTGTGGTGCCTGGTAACACATGTGTTCTGGTGTCTGGGAGCTGCGCTGGGCCTGGGGCTGCCTGCTCCTTTGACAGTGGGGCCACATACAGGGTTGATTCCTGTCTTGTTGCCAGACCTAGTTCCTGTGTCTGGGCCTCTTTGCCAAGTAAATGGGTTGGGGCTGGGCACCAGTGGTGCAAGTGAGTCCAGTGAAGGCCTGGTCCTCAGACAACATACAAAGGAGGGGTGCCTAGCGGCTGCCTCCCCCTTTTCTGATGGCGCCTTCTACAGTTAAAGAGATGGCCCTTGGCTGGAACTTGGTGTAGAGACAATGGAAATCTGTCAAGCTGCTGCTTCCCATAACCTCAGAGTCAGAGCCCTCAAATAAGGGCTAGTTCCTGAGGCTGTGCCACATGCTATGCAGGAAAGCCAGCATGCTACCGGGGTTAGACTAGGATCTGGGAGGCCCAGGTCCAAATCCCCTGCTGTCATGGAAGCTCATGGGGTGAGCAGAATGATATGAAGCCGCTTTGTGTCCCCACTGGCTGTTCTTTATACCTGGCTTTCCTCCCTAGAGGGGACCCAAAGCGGCAACTCTCAGCAAAACAAACCAAGCAATCTCAGATTAGTTCTCTCACCATTATATTTTTTTTATGAAATGCAGTGTTGGTGAACTTTCTATGTAATCAGAAGAGTAGGAAATTTAACCCTACCCCAAACGGAGTTTTCCCAACCCAAATCCACATAACCCTTCTGGGGGGAGTTTGACTCACAGCAGAAAATACAGATTTCCTCTTTAAGGAAATGTAGCAGCTGTTGGGGAGTTGAGGAAAAGCAGTATTTAAGCAGGGGGGGAGTGGAAATTATTTATTTATTTATTTCAGTTATACAAATATCCCTAAACCAATGACCAAATAAAATCCCCACCAAAAATAAATATACTGGGGGGCGGGGGCAGAGATATCAAGGCACAGGCACAATTTACTGTGTTTATTTATTTACTTCAGTTATACAAATATCCCTAAACCAATGACCAAATAAAATCCCCACTAAAAATAAATATACTGGGGGGCGGGGGCAGAGATATCAAGGCACAGGCACAATTTACTGTGATATATCCATATCAGGGAACCCTTTTTTTAAAAAAAATTAAAAATCAAAGACTTGAACACAAGACTTGTCAACACAAGGAAAAATTCCTTCTTTCCATGAGGCAGTAAAGTGCAAGGAAGAAAAGGCCATGGGAAAAAAGGGGGGGGGGTGGTTCAGGGAAGAGAAAGGAAAGGGTACTAATTGTTGCAAGCACGTGGGAAGAGCTATCATCACTCCTGTGCCTCCATATAGCCATATACTGCTATCAGACGAACGTTTTTGTTTTTTTTTAATATTTGAAAATTTGCGACATGGTGATAAAAATGCCTCATTACTGAGGTGGGGAAAAGAGAACACAGGGCACAGCTGTCCCACAGTTGTGGTTCTGTCAGAAGAAGGTGGAAGGGAAGTCGAGGAAAACATTACACACGCCAAATGAATGGACTCAGATCTGATTACTAGACCCCTGATCTTAGCCATGACACAATCTTATTTCTCAGACTTATGTTTTGGATTCATTCTTGGCTTTTCCTCCAATTCCAACTCCCAGGCTCAATGCATTTTGGGAGGGGCTGCAGACAACTCTGCAGGAACCTGTATTAGGAGAGCACTTTGCTAACTCAACAACAGAGGCCCACTATCCAAAGTGAAAACATTCTGGAGAAAGATGCAAGAGACATTCCACAGCACCACCTATCAGACAGTTCAGTGTTGGACAAGAAGAACACCACAGGCAATTTATTTTACAAACTGTATTTGCAAAAGCACATGCAGATAAAAGTTACACATAACAGTTGCATCATAAAAGAGTCATGTTCCAAAAGGAGCTGTGAGGGGCTCACAGGTCACTAAATGGCGGGGGGGGGGGACCCTGAAATGGATTATACAAAATTCACTGCTGTAAAGAACAAGGAAAAACAAAAGAATTGAGCAGGCTTCATTTTTAAATAATGGAATGTCTCTCGGGACTTCATTCCACCACTCCTATGAGAAATAGCATAAAGCAGTTGCTAAAGGAACCAGGAACTTCGGTTGTCATCCCTTAGGGACAAGATAACATATTACTTTGCAGATACATGTAATGAAGCCCCCAAACCCCTTTTCTGCTTTGCAAAGGACCTTTAGGATGTGTCAGAGAAGAGAGAGGAAGAAAGAAATTGTGTAACCTCCCCAGAACTTCCCCCCTTTCCTTCCAATTGTTTACATAAAACAACAGTGCCATCATGTTAACCCTTCCAAGTCATGGAGGCATTTCTCTTTCAGAAGATAAACAGATGAAAATCCATTTAGATATAATTTAGTTTTCATGTTGGAGAGGACTAAAAGGCCATCATGCAATCTCCAGAAAAAGAACTGAAGAGGATTTGAGAGGGCTTTTTTAGGTTGAACAGAAAATAAGTGGATGGCCTGACTTCATTGGAAACCAGAAGCTAAGCAGAGTCAGCCCTTGTTATTATTTGGATGGGAGACCACCAAGGAAGTCCAGGGTTGCTACTCAGAGGCAGGCACCAGCAAGCCACCTCTGTTTGATTCTTGCCTTGAAACCCCTACGGGGTTGCCATAATTTGGCTGCAACTTGATGGCACTTTCCAAAATCAGAACATAACTGGAGAGTACAAATAGTTGGGATCAAAGGGTTAGTATGACCTAAAGAACACATGCATGCAGAAGCCTACAAGTGATGCAAAGTGGGAGAAAATGGTGGTGGGGGGTGATGTGTGTCCCCCTCCCTAATCTCTGCTCTCCTCAGGCACCATCCCAAAATCCTCCAGGAACTTCCAAGCCTGAAGTTGGCAACCCTATATTCCATGCACACTTTTGGCAAGGCAGCCAAAGAGGCACATGTAGCCATTTCCATATCCCACTGATTGGCCTGGCTGCCCTTGGGTCTTAAAAATGATTAAACATTGGCCCTGTATTTGAAGAAGGTCAGGAAAGTACAGTGTAATAATTTAGGTTCATGGCACACTAATGTTTAGGTTGAAAAACTGACTGCCGTTGCTAGGCAAAAAGAAACTTACAAGGCTCTTCCTTGAGGGAAAACAAGAAGAATAAAACAGTCTATCATACTTACATTATTGCTGCAGCTTTTATATCGGATATTCCTGCCTTCACAGTTCCTGGAAAAGAAACAAGGTTTAAATGCAACGACTAAGTAGAGGTAACGTTAAAATACTACCCATTCCCATATTAGACACATATTACTGCTTCTCAGATTCAATGTCATTTGGAAGACGAACAGGTTAGCATGGCTATCTGAGGAAGCAGCATGGCTTTTCCTGATGGGCAGACAGCCATGCAAAATTCCAGCCTACTTCTGAAATATCATGCACAAAAAGCTGTATAATTTACCGGCAGCCAGTTTTGAGAAATGATTTACATGGTGAATAATGCAACTCTCTAACCTGAACCAACAGTTGCTTCCCCTGGAAAGGAAGGAATTGGGGAAGCCGGGTAGCAAGAGCTGAGATTGTTCTCCTGGGTCCAGCTCGTAAGTACATAAGCCTTGAGCATGGCCACAGGTACTTTGGACAGGGGAGGGGTTATGGAAAATCCTGCCAGCCAGCTGAAAACATCTCACTGACTTTGTTCTCCTCTGCTCTTTTCACAGGTATTTAAGGCCTGGGTGTTCCCAGAGGCACAAGCCAAAGAGTTCTTTTCATTTGGACCTCAGCCTAAGGGTCGCAAATTATATCTGAGCCCAGTAGCAAGTTTTTCCAGGTCTAAGCTTTCTAGCATCAAAGCTCCCTTAATCAGATATAGTCTCTGACAAAGGGAGCTTTTGACTCTTGAAGGCTTCTACCCTGCAAATCTTGTTGGTGTCTAAGGTGCTCCTGGACTCAAATCTTATTCTTCTGCTGCAGACCAACATGGCGACCCACTTGAAACTATCTTCATGGAAGGCATCAGATTAGAACTAGATGGAAGACCAGTTCAGAGAGAGAGGGAAGACCTGCTCCTATGCCTCCCCAACCCACCTGGCATTTTGCTTTTGTTGCATTTTTTCCCTTTACTGTAAGACATTTTGGGTCCCCCTTAGGGATAATAGATTCTGCATTCAGGCTGCCATTATGAAAGGAATATTTAGTTCCTCCTAAACTGGGCAGACTGACTTGCATATTGTGAACTGAAGAGTGTTGAGAACTACAGCAGGTACACAAGGCCGCTGCAAAAATGCTGTCTGGAGCGGGCCATAGGAACGGTATCATTCCAGTGATGCACCACCTAGGTAGGCTACCAGACCCAGTTCAAAGTGCTGATAATGACCTTTAAAGCTCTATATGGCCTGGGACCTGCATACCTTAAGAACCACCCACTACAAACCTACTCAACCATTACAACCATTTTTAGGAAACCAGCTTCAGGTGCCCCATCATCTGATGCTAGACAGGTGGCAACCCAAAAAAGGGCCTTCTTGGGTCAGGGCACCAAAATTATGGAATTCCCTCCCCAAGGATATTTATTTGTCCCTTCTTATCACTGTCTTCTTCCAGCAGGTGATGACTTCCATTTCCTCTGGTATACTCTGACCTTTCTTCTTGTTTGTTTTTATAGATGTCTGCATTATTTTTAAAAGTTGGTTTTAATGTCTTTTTAATTGTTTGCTGCCTTGAAGACTCTAATTGGACAGATTGGGGGCATACAAATATTTTAAATAAATAATGTCGTACAAAGTCTTTGCAAATTTTGCAAATAAAACACAGACTTTCAGCCTGTTCTCTGAAGATTGCATAATCCTGTATCATTCATGGACTTTCTCACAGGTAATATGAATTACCAACCTGCCATTTAAACATCTCCTGAGAGAGTAGGATGCCCCTCCTCCACACGTACGGGAGCAATCACTCCAAGCTCCCCAGGCGTCCCAGCCACCTTCTTTATCTTCCTCAGACTGGGTAATTCTTGAGGTCTGGAAACATGGCAGAAAAGAACAGTAACCCAGTAGTCCAGTAGCACTGCACACTTTGTAAACATTGTTAACATTTACAATTCACCTTTGGCAGATGGTAGCAGTAACAAACACAGATGACTATTCCAAAGTAAATCATGGCAGTGGCGGTGTGTGTGTGTGTGTGATAGTGTTTCTGTACTGTTTTCAAAGAAAAGATATATTTTGAACCAAACTCTTTCCATTTTTGAATATAACTCTCCCCTCCTCTTTTTGTAAGTCCATATACCTCACCTTGGGGGGTCTAAATTCAGTGATGAGCATCAGAGAAAACCTGGGTTGTCCTTCTGGATACTGCAAAGGGGGTCAACATGAGCACATGAAGCTGCCTTATACAAAGGAAGGCTATAATCAGCTCTGACTGTCAAACTGACTCTCAGGCAGAGATAAGAACCCAAGAAGCCCTCTGACAGATCAGATTGGTGGCCCATCTAGTCTAGCATTCTGCTTAACACAGTGGCCAACCCGTTGTCCTGGAGGACCAACGCACAGGGCACAGAGACCAAGGCCTCCCTCACTTCAATGCTGCCTCCTAACATTGGTATTCAGATGCTGACTGCCTCTGGTAGTTGAGGTTCCCTTCAGTCACCATAGCTAGTAGCCATTAATAGACTTCTCCTCTATGTATTTCTCTAAACCCCTTTAAAACCCATCTACAATTGTGACCCATCACTACATCTGCTGGTATGGAATGAAGAAATAAGTAATTCCTCTCATCCATCCTATTGACTTCATTGGATGCCACTGGATTCTCCTGCTATGGGTTCTCTCTATTCTCTTTCTCCATGCATAATTTTTGTCAACCCTGTCCCATGAGACTCCTTTAAGCTGGAGATGCTGTGGACTAAGGCCCCACCTAAACAAAACAGGCACCCTCAGGTTCACCCAGGGGAACCACCACCAGGTCAGCCCCATTCTGGTTCGAACCACTGTGGCACAGGGGCACGGAGGAGATCCTGCCTTTCCTCCAGCCATGTTTTTCCTCTCTGAAATGGCACTGCGGAACATTATTTGCTCTCATGCCACCCCCAGTGCCATTTCAGGGAGGAAAAACTGCACGGGGGGAGGCAGGATCCTCTCCTCCTCCTGCTACAGAGGTCCCCAGCAGGACTGGATCCTTACAGTGCTGTGTAAGGGAGTTCCTAGTTAAGAACTCACATTTTTAAAATGGCAGCAAGTCCCCGGGGACAATCGAGGGACACCCTCTTGTCTAGATGGGCCCAGAGCCTGGGACATGACGTATGCAAAGCATGTGTTCAATTACTGGCAGCAAAGGCTCGCTTCTGCTCAAACAGGCAATGCAGACTCTTTCCCAGTTTTAAAATTTCATGGACACCTGGAGGATTTGGGCATAGCTGCCAACCTCTGCCACTTTTCCCTGAACTTCCCAGGGAAGTTATGTGGTGTTAACAAAAACACTGGTGGCACCCAAAGTCATAACTCATGTTTAAACACTTTGGCTATTACCTCTTGTCTGGAATGTTTCTATCGCCCCTCTTTAAAGCTGCAGGGTTTGTTTTTTTTAACAAATAAATAAAAGACAGTTCTTTTATACTTGCAATCTGAATTCTACATCTATGCAACCAGTGCCCAAGGCGTGGTGGGAATTATTCATTTTTGCCTGTGACTTTAGAAAAGGATACAGAGTGGGAGGTGGCAACAGGATCGTGAGGGGAACAGGCAAGAGCAGCCATGACTTCTGCACTGGGAGGTTTCTCTACCTGGTATGCCCAAGAATACAGCTGATGAGTACAGTCAGTTCCCCTCCCCACTTGCACTCATACTTGGATCCCACTTGCTGCCTAGAAAAGCTGCACTCCGGGGCACATCCTGGGTAGGGTCATGATCGTGCTGCCAAAATCAGGGGGTGTAAACCACATTAGTACTGTCCGTATAGCAACAGTTAGATTGCAGATTCTCTCAGGGGTAGGTTCAGTCCTTCGAAATGACCACCCAGAGGGGTGTGGAGGGCACTGCCGTTGGCTACATTTGGGAAACCCTGCCAGGCCAAGGCCATCCCTTTTCAGTGGACATTTGGTGGAGGGTAAACTGCTTAGGCAGATGTGGATAATCGGTGCAGTTGGTTTTGGATCTGTGTGTTTTGTAACCGTTGCTTTTACCTTGCATGTTTGTTTTTCATTTGATAATGGACTTCTTTTGTCTTTATGGAAGTTCTTGCACTGATAGCAGTAGGGTTGCCAGGTTGCCAGTAACCTGGAGAAAAAAATGTCCTGCCCCATTAACACTAATTAAGTGCCCTGAAGTTGCTACTGACTAATGGCAGTCCTTCGTAGAGTTTTCAAGGCAAGTGATGAGCAGAGGTGGTTTTGCCATTCACTGGCTGCCTCTGGTGGCCTCTCATCCAAGTACTGACCAGGGCCGACCCTGCTTGGTTCCCAAACTCTGACAAGTTTCAATGGGCTAGTCAGGGCCATTCAGGCTGCCTGCTCCTTTCATAGAAATTCAATGGGTTGTTATTTACCTGGTGACATTATTTGCTACCATGCCATGAAAAGGTTCATATGCCCATTTCTGCACATTAAACTTACATTAAAGGGGCAGGACATTTTTTCACCAGGTTACTGGTAACCCCAGTGAAGGAGAGAAGGTGAAATAGAAACACTTTAAACTTATAGATTCAATTGTTATTCTGAAGTGCAAATTTTACTTTGGAGGCTAGGACCAATGCTCCCTCTAAGTTGTGGAGTCTTATGGGCAAAAATTCTACTTTGTGAGCTACAGGCATTAAAGTTGTGAGCGAACGATTAGGCTACTGCATAAATTGGTTCGCTCTGGAGCCATCCTTCCTGAACTAAGACAAAAATGTGTAAGCCGGAGGCTAAAAAACTGAGCTAGCTCACACTAACTCAGCTTAGAGGGGACACTGGCTAGGGGACACTGGCTAGGACCCCTGTCACCACCAAAATTAAGCAGAGCTCCTGAAGCTATATGCACTGTTTCGCAGCCTTCAAGTCCCCAAATTCCATCTCCTAAAAAAATCTGTTTGGTGCAGTGATTAGAGTGTCAGACTAGGATCTAGGAGAGCCAGGTTTGGATCCCCACTCCGCCATGGAAGCTTGCTGGGTGACCTTGGACCAGTCACACACTCCCAGCCTCACCTATCTCATAGGGGTGTTGTTGTGAGGATAAAATGGAACAGAGGAAAACAACATAAAGCTGCTTCTGCTCCCCACTGGGGAGAAAGATGGGATATAAAGGCAGTAAATCAATCAGTCAATAAAAATGCCCTTGTGCTGGCCCAGCTAAAAATTCAATTAGCATCAAACTATATGTATAAGCAGTAAGTACTTTTCTATTGCACACCAGAGGTCTGAAGTGCAGCCACATTGAACTTCACTGGATACCTTAATTTTTGCCATTGCAATATGAAGTATGTTGACAAAGAGACCTGATCTGGTCCTTACATGGCTTGGATTAGGTAATATTGATGCTATGAGATACAGATGCACATAAAGAACACCTAATCATTGATATGTTGCACAGGATTACGTTTCTGGCCCTTCCAGACTTGATATACACAGCATTATCATAGCACTGTTCTTTCAGACTCATAAATAGGGAACTGATTATATCTTCCAGATTATATCATTGCATAGATGTGGAAGAATAAGGGCTGCCTCCAACCAGGACATAAATATTTTAAGAAGTCGTGGCAGAGAAGTACCCTCCATCAAAGAAATCTTTAGATTTGTGTTTCCTGAGCAGATAAACACACCCCATGCCAAAGCACTTTTCAAACGTAGGAAAAAAATAGTTTATGCTATAGCACAGAAACCCGTGATTCAAGAGAAGTAGGTTTTAAAAGCCCTGTGAAAAGAGACACAAGTTCTTAAGCCAACCCAAAACAGCCTAGTGCTTTTTGACCTATTGGACTATACATACTTGTGGTATAAAATTCTAACTCTGTTACAATGGGCAAATCTTGTGGACATAAAAAAGGGATGACCTGCCCTGTGATTTAAAGTGTGAATAAACAAAATTACGTTAAATATGTTCATTAACAGAGAAAAGGATATGGATTGAACTAGGGACTTGGCACACATAAAACAGATGCTCTGCCACTGAGCCACAGTTCCTGTCTTGCACAAGTGATTCTCAAGAAGAAGCTGAAGCTGCACATGCGTGAAGTGGCATCAAGTTGCTGCTGACTTCTGGTCTTTCACAATTAAGGTACCGTGCCAGAGTGAGGATGTATTATTCCCCCACTCTGCCAATGTATGGGAAGTGACAGCATTCAGAGGGAAGAATTTACAGGTCAGAGGCGACTCTCTGAGGCACCCTGCACCAGAGCTCAGATGTGCAGAGATTCTCCTCAAGCACTTCCATCGGCCAGGAAGCACAGACCCATCACTACGTGCTGATGACGGTGCGGGTAAATGGGGAGAGTAAAGTACACAGAAATAACATTGACTGGGCATTTGCGAGGAGGATTCCTGCCCAAGGCTCCCGGGGTAATAGAGAAAACACACATCTCTAAATTTATTTATTTGTAGTCCGCCTTTCCAACTGAGGCTCAAGTTTGAACATGCCTTCCGTTTTCACCGAGAAACACCCTATGGTATCAAAAGTTGAGGAAATGCCAACTGAAACAAGCAAAAGCCTTAAAAAAGGAACATTATCAATCAACTCTCAGGCAGATTCCCAAACCAAAATACTACCCTTCAGTGCATGTTTGTAACTTATTGATTTAATTCCTAACAGTGACCCTCCAGATTCTTCCCAGTATAAGTCATGCCACTTCACTGGTATTTCTTCCCCCTATTTGAATTGGGTTTCACAGCATAGGCAAATATAATACATAGATTTGATGAAAGCTGACAGCTAGTAAATCAAATATTATTTTGCTAGTAAATTACCAGGCCGGCTCAAACTACCTTTAACTCTTTTCCCATGGGACAAATGATTTGGACAGGCTGGAGTTTAAATCAACACTGTGGGTA